AAAACTTGATGGGATTTTGAAAGGAATGAAATTTCACAAGTGCATGAAAGAACCATCGGTGTACCGGAAGAACGAAGGATCCAACTTGCTAATTTTAGCAATCTATGTTGATGATTTGTTTGTCACAGGTACAAATTTGAGCATGATCAAAAGGTTCAAATTTGAAATGTCCAAGAACTTCGAGATGTCTGATCTTGGAAGATTAACTTACTACCTGGGCATTGAAGTCAAACAAGAAGAATCAGGGATTACTAAAAACCAAGAAGCGTATGCTAGACGCATTCTAAAAGAAGCCGGTTTACACGATTGCAATCCGACCCACATTCCCATGGATCCAGGAACCAAAATGTCGAAGGCCGAAGATGAACCCGAAATCGACCCGACACAATACCAAAAGTTGGTAGGATGCCTTAGATATCTCTTGCAGACAAGACCCGATATGGCATATGCGGTTGGAGTTGTTAGTCGATACATGCAAGATCCAAAAGAATCACATGGTGTTGCAATCAAACACATCCTAAGGTATTTACGAGGAACAACGGGATACGGAATCAAGTACGAGAGGATGGGACAAAATCGAATAATTGGTTACAGTGATAGTAGTCATAATGTTGATCCAGATGACGGAAGAAGCACAACCGGTCACATTTTCTACTATGGGTTGTCTCCAATAACATGGTGTTCTCAAAAGCAAGATACTGTTGCTTTATCATCTTGCGAGGCGGAGTTCATGGCTGCAACTGCGGCTGCATGTCAAGCAATATGGCTTCAAGATTTGCTAGGCGAAATCATGAACAAAGCACAAGAGAAGGTGGTCCTAAGAGTTGATAACAAGTCAGCTATCGAACTCACGAAGAATCCTGTTTTTCACGGAAGAAGCAAACACATTCACACGAGGTTTCACTTCATTCGTAAGTGTGTTGAAAAGGAACAAGTGGAGGTGAAGTACATTCCAGGTGAAGAACAAAAGGCAGACATTCTCACAAAACCATTGGCTCGAACCAAGTTCAAGACAATGCGGGACTTGATCGGGATTGAAGACATCTTTAGAAGGACTTAAAGATTGGCGGTGATAGGGAATCTCTAGAAGGACTTAGAGATTCGGGGGTGATTGTTGGAATCTTAAGTCATCATCTCCCTCCACCCATGTCTTCCACTCCTAAAAGGCTAACACAATTTCTGGAACAAAGTAAGGGACACCAACAAGTGGTTGGGTCTCATGTGTATTAATTATAGGATTAAAATGATTCTATCAATCCTATATATTCAGTGTATTACCAAGAGGGAGACACACACAAAAACACAGCAACATACATAGACATATACACATATATATGTAATTGGTTTTTGAGTTATATTTCCAATCAATCAAAGAGTTATTTTGATATATATATTTGTCTGTGTCTTTACAATTCCAATATTAGATATTAGAATAAGTCGTGTTCCCATTAAGCCCATTAAGTAAAAGCTTACTCTATTAAGCAAGCAGCACTTTAGTGAAGTTATGTTGTCCTTTTTTGCAGGGTGGGGACACCAATGGTGGGTCTCCCTCCAGCTTGGGTTGATGTATCTGAAGAAATAGCAGCAAACATTCAAGTTGCAAGGTCAAAAATGGCAGAGCTATCAAAAGCTCATGTGAAGGCTTTGATGCCCTCATTTGGGGATGGTAGGGAAGATCAGCACAGGATTGAAGCACTTACACATGAAGTAACTGATCTTTTAAAAAAATCAGAGAAGATATTAAGAAAATTATCTGGTGCTGGATGTGCTGAGGATTCAACTGTCAGGAAAAATGTGCAGGTATATAATAATATAAAGTTAACTTTCATAGTGGATTTTAAATTTTTAATCAACTCAACCATGTATGTTATGGTTTTATGGCAGCGATCTTTAGCCACTGATCTTCAAAGTCTTTCAATGGAACTTCGAAGGAAGCAATCGACATATCTGAAACGCCTTGAGCAGCAGAAAGAGGTTTGCCCTAATTATTCTCTTTTAATTATTGATTATTGGAATCCAGGAATGAAAATTAAGTTGTTTGTTTTGTGTGGTGGAATGGAATGGAATGGACCATTGTAGATGGAAAATATGATTCCTTCAGTTGAATAATATGTGGCCTTTTTCATGTAGGGTTCAGATGGGGTTGATCTAGAAATGAAATTAAATGGAAAGCATTCTTCTTCTATAAGCGAGGATGATGGTTATGATGATTTGGTATGTTCAATATTTTCCTTTTTGTATTAATCTAATTATCTTGGGTTTTAATTTCACAGATTCTACAATCCTTTACCTCTAAACAGGCTTTCTTGACTTGAAAATTATTTATCTAGGGTTTTAACAAACATCAAATGACCAAATTGAAGAAAAGTGAGGCTTTCACAACCCAAAGGGACAGAGAGATTCAACAAGTAGGTGCAAGACATTTGTGTTTATTTTTTATTCCTTCAAGTACATTGCTATTTTTGCATTTAGCTTACACTGTCTCTTTCTCTCTCCTAAACAGGTGGCAGCATCAGTGAACGAACTAGCACAGATCATGAAGGATCTTTCTGTCCTTATAATTGACCAGGTCAAAGCCATTTTTTTTTTGTTATAAATTTTGCCATATAAAGGCACAATGTTTATACTAACAAGACTTTTTTTTTTGGCAAGCAGGGAACAATCATCGACAGAATAGATTACAATATTCAAAATGTTGCAGTATCTGTGGATGAAGGACTTAAACAGCTACAAAAGGTTTGTCTCTATCCTTCATTTCACCTTATAAACTGCATCAAGCAAATAAGGAAACTCAAACATCCATATTATATATAGAGCTCAGTGGATTAAGTCAAAAAGAAACAAGAGGTACTAGAGTTGTGATGTTTGTATGAAATTTGCAGGCAGAGAGAAACCAGAAACAAGGCGGAATGGTGATGTGTGCTACAGTGCTTGTCGCCATGTGTTTCATAATGTTGCTTCTTTTAATCCTCAAGGCGATTCTCTTCTGATCCACCATCAACATGCCGGATGCATGGGAGATCCCCATTCCTACATACATACATACATGCATACAGACATACATACATATAGTTCATCTGATTTATTTTTACACAAGGGTCACATTGATGTGTATAATTGGGTTAAGTTGCTTTCATTGTATAGAGAGAATTTTATGTTATCAACTCTTTCCCCTAAGAAAGGTTTTGTAGTTTAGATGAATTAAGGTTTGATATTCAAACGTAGAGTTTACTAAAACAGTAATTTATAATTCAAGACGACCAATTCCCTATATGTACTAGCCAAGTTGCAGATCAATCCGAAAAAAAAAAAAAAAAAAAAAAAAAAAAAAAAAAAAAAAAAAAAAGTTGTATTATAAATTGGAAAAAAAAAGTACTATAAAATATTGTTTCATAAATATCGGTAAGTTAAAAAATCTCGGGATAATCACAAAAATTTATCACATGATTATAGGTAACATAGGAATGGACCCTTTTATGGATTTATATTTGGAATGATGGACTGAAAAATAAGTTGGAAAACATATCAGAAACCCAACAAACAAATCCAAAAATCACGTGGTTATTTTTGTGATTATCCAAAAATCTAGCATGTCTAACATAAAATAATAAAAAAACGTAGCACAGTTAGAATAATATTAAAGATTAATGATATAGGTATTGTTAGCCACACTAATTACAAGTTATTAGGCGGAAGTTCATTTTACAATTCCAAATCCAAAGCCATAATAAAGACAGCGATAAAGCTAAAACTAGCTGCCAGAACGAGTTCAAGAGATGAGGATCCAGGTAGTGAATTCACCCTCGAGGGAAGAATCATTCCATTCACTTGTGAAAATGCTAAGAAGAAGGCTTTTCTCTGAATCCACCACTCAATCGGGGCGAGAGGGAGCTACTTCGAGGAGGGCTCTCACTCAACGGATCAAAGGTACGCCGGGGATAACTGATGACTCCCAAGAGCTCTTATCGACGGAGTCGTTTGGCACATGATATATTTGCTCACATTCCGGGGGAAGGTCGTAATTCGTAGGAACATTCTATAGTCTTAATAAGAGGAGGTAGAGTGAAAGATTCGCCAGGTGAGCCGTCTTAGCCTTACTGGCACCTCCGAGAAGTCTACCGCATGTTCATGATGTTCATGCGCAAGCAAGTGTCAGCGGCTCATTCTGAATAAATAAAAGAAAAAGAATCGACTTAGGGTATGGGTTCTGAAGAGGGTTTCTCCTTTTGCAATTTGGTCTTCTTCCGATCCTTCTGAATGCTGAGGAGAGCAAAGAATGGATCGCATTCACTTTTAAGTCCCTCCCCAAACTCATTTTACGAGGAATAACCAAGTGCGATAACTTGATGCGGGAGAGGCATTAGTGCAGTTCGATCTTGTGGTGTATTCCTTTGTAGTGAGTAGGGGAAAACCTCTGAAAATTTTTCAATATTGAATCTTCGACATATAATAGTTCCGAATCGAATCTCTTTAGAAAGATCTTTTGTCTCATGGTAGCCTGCTCCAGTCCCCTTACGAAACTTTCGTTATTGGGTTAGCCATACACTTCACATGTTTCTAGCGATTCACATGGCAACAAGTGTAAGATTCCCCTGGATAGGTCTCGTAGGCAGCAGCATTCGTACTTGCCTTCGCCGTGATTGTCCAGCATAGAAGCCTATGGTTCCATCTTGTTGCTGGAGGTACACATCCATCTTCTCGGTGTGGAGCGATATACGAGAAATAGATGCTCATCCTGAAATGTCCGATATCTATTCTAAGCTCTATAAAGTACTTTTAAAATCTTCAGAAATTTATGAGGGGGATGAAATAGTTCACCACGATCGATTACGTGAAACGGTTCTGCAAAGTTTGTTTGTTCATACAGACAGCGTGGTTATAGTAATTGCCAGCCAAACCTGGTCTATTTTTTATTGATTAGAATAGGGACTTACCCACTGTTAATTTCATATTCAAAAAGTATTGAGCCAAATTTGTGAGTCAAATCCATTCCGATTATTCCAATATTTTAAGCTGTCAACAGAAAGTAGAATATTGACTACTACATATCGGGAATTGGTAATTCTCAAGTAAGTGGCAAATAAGAAATACAAAGCAAAAACGGGACTAAATCCATAAATCCCAATGTCAAATACTTTACATAATTCATCAAGACACCAATCATCACTGCTAAGATAAACCCTCAAAAGTCAAAACTATAATAATACTGGACCACCACCCAGGTCAAAAAAAGAGCCTGAAAGAATGGAAAGAAACATCAAACAAAAATAAGAATAAAAATACCAAAGTATAAGAGCAAATATATGCATTTATATACCTTGCACTTGAATCAGTTGAAGGTAAATCCACCAGAGGGAACGGAAACATCAGCACCTCCAAAATGGAAAGCAGCAGCCTGAGGCTGAGGGGTTGCTTCGCCAGGTGGCATAACATCATCCTCTTCATCCAACCAATACGTCTCAAGAAGCTTCACTGCTTTCTCATATATCTCATTGTTATCATGACTCTGTAAATTTTCTATTTTCTCCAACCCTTCAGCATCATCAATCATTTGTGCATAAACATTTACATCCCCAGATTGCCCCAAATTCTTTTCAGCTTCCCCAACCTTTAAAATGTTCTCAAGCCCCTCTAAACACACTGTCACTATTCGTGGGTCTGGACAGATCAGCAGGTCACACAAAGGTTTGATACACCCCTCACTAACTAAATACCTGCAAAACACTCATCATTTTATATTAATATTAATATCTAGAATAAAAAGAAATTCAACAACAAAAAAAGATAAAGTTTTCTCACTTAATTTGGTCGTGGGTTCCACCAGAAGTAGCATTTGAGATGGCCCATGCAGCCTCTTTCTTGATGTCAAATTCAGCAGTTTGAAGCAAAAGAACAAGAGGACCAATGATATTTGCTTCAATCACTATCTGTAAAAAAAAATATACAAATACCAGTCAAGAATGCACAGCACAGCTAATTAATAATATATACACTTAAATCTGGACAAAATTTTACCTGAATCTGCTCCTTATTGCCAGCAGTGATGTTTGATATAGTCCAACAAGCTTCCTTCTTAATGCTCTTTTTGTGATTACCAATCAACAGGTTCAGAAGACAAGGCAATGCTTGAAGATTGATTATATACTACAAAGTACAAACACATTGCAGAGTGTCAGATCATAATATTCTTTAATATATATCTATATACATATTACAAAATAAACACTTACCTGAGTTTGCATATCATCTCCAGTAACAATGTTCCCAACTGTACGAAGAGCAGGAATAAGCACAGTTGGAGAAGCACGACTGAAGATACAAAAATATATGCATATAACAGAATGTTAGAAAATAAAAAAGGATTCAAAAGATTCTAACTTTATTAAAAAAAATTATAATAATACCAGACTCACTTCAATAGCTCAACCAATCTTGGACATACATTTGCTTCAATAACAGCTTGGATTTTATCATTGGTGCCATCAGAAAGATATGAAAGTGCCCAACAAGCATCTGTCAAGACTTCATCATCTTCTGAACGAATAAGTTGCTGTAGAGCTGGAAGTGCAGGTTTTGTCTGAAAAATTCAAAACTATTGATCAGGGTTTATGGTTTTAGGGTTTAGGGTTTAAGGTTTTGAGAGACTAACCTGATCAAAAGAAGGTTGTGGTTTGCCCCTACAAAAATTGGAAAGTGTCCAAGTGGCATTTCGCAACATAGATAGCTTAGCATGTGCGTTTAATTGGGAAAGTAAAGGAATCAAAGCTCCTTGTGCAAGTACAAGGTCACGACATTTAGGGGAATCACCAGCCACATTCCCTAGGGCCCATACAGCCTACCATGTACACAGTAACAGACAATCAGAAATTGAGTAGATAGAAATAGAATATAAAAAAAAAAAAATTAAAAACAAGAAACATACCTGCTCCCTAACATCATCACTGGGAGATGCAAGAAGTTTCACAAAAATCGGGACGGCTCCATGATCAATCACCACCTTTGTGTGTTCAGATGTTCCAGATGCAATATTAGTCAAAGCCCAAGCAGCCTCAAACTATAGAATACAGGAAGTGTATATTGTTATTATTATTATACAACAGATATGAGTTTCTTGTTTGTATTTCTGTTTTATAATGTTCTATTTCACCTGTAGTTGGGGGAAATCCTCCCTCACAAGAAACTCAACAAAGCGAGGGACAACACCAGATTGAATAACTTCTTCGATTGGAGGGCTGCGTTCTGATTAAGAAAATGTAATAGAATTAGCAATGTAAGTAGGAACAGTATATTGAGATAAAAATGATAATGGTATTACCTATTGATAAGAGTTTACGAAACTGAGTAGTGGCCTCAAGCTGCATATTGTTATCATTAGAGAAAACTCCAGCAACCATTGCAGGAAGATTTTCCAACTGCAATTTGAATAATCACAGTAAAACTCAGCGCATAACATCAAGAGTTCGTACTAGTACTTAAAAGCATTTTCTATCTGCAATCAGTATAGAGCTAGGGCATAGGGTACACTCAGGAAGTAATGATGCTACAAAGAAATCCTATACCGACACAACTAAAACCATGTCATTCAGCCATGTTTATCGGCGTGGACTATATCCTAAATACAAATTCCAAACGTCATCCGAACCAATGTCGATTGAGCTACAGTTCCTAACAGCAAGACAAACAGAAAACCCTAAAATTCCAGACACAGCACAACAGAGTAGCGAAACTACAACGTAAATCCAGCAAAATTGCATACAGTATGACCGTATTACAAAATGTATATACCTTCTTTTCGGCGGCGGAAGCAGACTGAACGGGCATGGCGAACTGGCTAGCAGTGACTTCGCGTCTCTTCTTCTGCAAACTTTCTTCTCTCCGGTTCTTACGGATCTCGACCATATTGTCTTCTCGCCTCCGGCGCCCTTCCTCGGCATCAACCGCCACCTTGTATCGGTTCCGGCGAACCTCCGTTCTGGCGCTAGGTCTCAGCGACATCGTTACAGTTCCTAGCGAGAAAGAGAAAACCCTAGAAATAGGTCAAGGGACTAGAGATCCTTTGTGTGTATATCTAATACCAGGAATTCAGTATCGATCAAATGTCGAGCGGCAATGGTCTATAAAGAAGAGCGAGTGAGGGTTTGGTGTTTTCCGCCCAGAGGAAGAGAGACGGGCGGGCCAAAAAGAAAGCTTTATTCGTAGGGCTTTTTCAAATTTTGAATCACCAAACATGTACTACACTCATTAAATGTAGACTTTCTTGAGGTGTGTTGTTTAACTTTTATTTAATAAACTTAATTAAGATATTTTAGAAAACTGCAAAAGGCCAAAAAAGAAAATGATTTATGGAGTTGTTAAAAGAACTCTAGTTTTTTTTTTTTTTTATACTCGTGGTATAATTTTGGATTATTCGGATTATTTTGGTCCATTCAATTTGAAAATAATATCATATCTCTTTAAATTTATTTTTTATTTTTTGTATTTATGTTAATGTTTTTTTTTAATTGAAAACAATGTAAAAACCTTCGATTAATTCCAGGTGGTACCCAACTAATTAGGAGGTGTATAGTAATTAATCATTGTTTAGTCAATTAGTGAAGTTTGTTAAAATGGTTTATTCACAGTGAATTTTTATCTATTTTTTATTTCAATAAAAACTAGAGTAAATTACATAAATGGTTCTTGTGGATTTGAGTAACTTGCGAGTTTGGTACCTAACTTATTTTATTAACTTGGATTGTCCATATGATTTCATTTTGTTGCATGTGTCATCCCTGCTATATCTAATATACAACCCTTAGAAGATTTTTTACAAATTTTAATTACTTAAATAAATGTTTAAGTAATAAATACATCCATTGTTGGTTTCCACCACTCCTTTCATCACCTCGACGAGTCTTTCACCTCTGACAAACCACCAAAACCTCCTTTTTCTTCTTCGACAAGCCTGCCTCCATGCTCCCCCCCCCCCACACACACACATATATATATATATATATATATATATATATATATATATATATATATATATATATATATATATATATATATATATATAGAGAGAGAGAGAGAGAGAGAGAGAGAGAGACTAAACCACAAATTTGGTCTTTATGGTTAGCAAAAAAGTGTGAATAATATCCAAATCTTTTGAACTTGCTGGATGGTCCAAAATGAGATATTTTTTGTGGTTATGATATTTTATAAATTTGAAATGACTATTTTGACTTTAATGTTTGTTTTTCCATTTTTTTATTTATTTGAAATGATAATAATAAAAAAATGAAAAAATAAAATCCCATCTGACGGTACCTGCAAACTCCACCCCACCACTGATTCTCTTTCTTCTCTCTTACATATGCATTGATCATCGTCATTTTCATCTTCATCAGCCATAAGGTTCTTTCATCTTCATTAGGTTCATCTTTTGGAAGTTGTAAGATCCATAAAGACCATTCTAGAGAAACCTAAAAGTATCAAAGATTTGGAGGTGCTTGACGGCTTCGATTTTGATTTTCTATGTTTTGAGTTTTCTGGGTTTGGAGGTTCTTAAAAGCTTCGATGAACACACATTCAAATATTGGAGGTTCCCGAAAGATTTGATTTTTTCTTTTACGAGTATTTTTTTTAGGTTTTGAGTTTGGTAGGTTTAATGTGATAACATACCATCGAAGCTTTCAAGTTTTCTAGGTTTGAGTTTCTTGTAATGAACACACAATCAAAGCTTTTGAGTTTTCTGTTTACCTTTAAAATTTCATTCACTGATTGAGTTTAGTTTAAAGGTCGATTTTCTGAGTTTTTCACCATCGATTTGCAAGTGTCTGTATTAATCATTGTATGTGTGTATATGTTGAAGAAGACGACCGCATAAAAGGATTCTAGTGTTGGAGGTATGAGAATACAAAATTTTGGTGCCAGAGGTACGAGAACACGAAAAATGATTAAAGGGTAGATGGAGATCTAAGAGCACAAAGTTCCAGCTTTGATTTTGCGATGGAGTAGAGGTGGATCTATGGTTATTCCTCCGCCGAATATATATATATATATATATATATATATATATATATATATATATATATATATATATATATATACCTTAATAAGCATTTAGCCTTAAATGTTGAATTTTAAGAGGTACAAGTTCAAAAGCAAGTTGTACAATGAATTTATGCATTGAATCTTATTTAGTCAAACGTTGATTACATAGTCTCACTTTTATCCCTTAAAAATTTGCACCTAACTAATGTGAATCAAACTGAATCGGTCAAAATGAAGACTTATTCTCAATTTGTTCCTTTAAATATTGGATTTGAGTCCTTTTTCTCTTGTTTCTCTTCTGTTTATAAAGAAACGTTGCCACCACCACCAGAAAGAATTCCAACAAATAGAGAATCGTTGTGCCTACACGATGTTAGTATGTTTTAGATGTGCCATGGATGGTTCTCTCTTGATCTATCTCCCTTTTTTTCTCTTCTCAAAATCACTACCGCCACCTTCTCTTCCCCACCAATATGAACTAGAAGTCGCCGATAAAGGAGATAGTTTTATAGGGATCCGGCGGGGGATTTGATCAGCATATCGAATTGTGTTATTTCACCGCCATTAGTAACACCCACTGTAGCACCATCACAGTTTACCCTTTTCATTGTCGGTATCTCTCTCATTCTCTAAAAATTACTAATTGCCACCACAAATACCAGCTACAGGTGGTTCTTGAGATGGTTCTACTTGCAACATATATAGAAATATTCAGTAGTTTGAAAATTTTTGGTGCTTATAATGGTAAGATTTCACATCTATCGTCTTTTATTTTGACAAATTCCTTCCCGTTTCTCGAAATTTCTCCATATCTTCGCGTTCTTTGTTCACAAATTCTGGATATAGTGCCCATTTGCCTTCATCGTCATCAAGAACAATTCCAGTATACTATGGTTCAATCCACCCTTTCAATATCTCTTCTCTATCTCTTTCACTCACAAACCCTAATATTTGTCGATCTGGCATGCCTTCCATTATACATAGTGTCAATACCACAAACCATTCATCCCCAATACGAACCTGCTCCACCATTCTCCTCCTCTCTCCTTTGTACTTTCACTCTCACGAAGAACTGGGTTGTCGCACACCCTTTAATCAACGACTATTTGTTGCTTATAATGATTCTTTATTGTGTTTGTTGCAGGTTAGCAGACAAAAGTTGAGTGTTTGCTGCACTGTATCGAAAAATCTTTTCTGGTGCCCTAAACATCAGGTTATCATAAGCATATACTCAATGTTTCTTTTTTGTGGTTATTGATATTCTATTATTTTATGATCCCTATGGAACTTTTGTTTCATAGATGCGAATTTGTTTGAAATTGTTCCTAGGAGGTACAAAAGGTGAATGGAAATTGAAGTTTTATTCTCTTAGATGATGGCAATATTGGAAAGATCTAGAGTGGTTGGTCGTTTAATGACAGTTTTCCCATAAGAGGTACAAAATGTGGTGATTTCTACTCGATTCATGTTTTTAATTTTATAGAATGTTGATATGGATTTCATTGGTGCTTTGAATACAAGTATGTGGTTAATCTACAAACTATTTCTGAACCTATGAGCGATTTCTAAAAGTTTCCAAAATGTAGCTCTAATGGATCGAGCACCTGTCAAGCTCCTAGAGAAATATCTTGGAGATTTTTAGACTTAGGATAAAGCCAATTGCAAACTGATATAAAGTGGAATGTAGATGTTTTATTACCCCTTTCACTTACACATGAGAAAAGTATGTACCTAATGAAACATGGATTCTTAAAGATGGAATTGAACAGTTTGTGGTCAAAGGATTGACATCAAAACTGATGATTTTATTAAAGAACATGATAAATATGAGTTGTTGTACTGGCTACCTCGAGAACTGTCAACTGATGGCGAAGTAACATGGATACAACACCATGTTAGCCTTTTATTTCCTTTATCTTGTGGTACTGATGAACCCATATAAATTTCCTTTTACCTTCTTTTTTCCACTTATCCAGTTACGTTCATTTTCAGGGTGTTTTAGCATTAACATCAACTACAACAAAGCAAGCTCTTATTTCTATTCATTGTCATTGTATGTTGCAGGCCTTCGCCACCAATCAAATCAACACCAAAGTTGAACCTTGACGATGAAAACCGATAAAAGTTGTTGTGAATTCATTTTCTGATTTTTGGTCCTAAAGAGCAACCATGTCATGTGAATAACAATGCGACTTTTGTTGATCATCAAAAAGGACCTGTGAATAAGCATGTCACACCACCATCTTTTATTTGCTTCCTTTTCCTTACTTTAAAAAACCACAACCAGTTACACTAACTTAACTATATGTGTGTATATATATACAGGTATTGAAATGAGAACCATTGAAGTACCCATGTTCAAACCATCATGGGTCATGTTGATCATGGAAAGGTAATAAGTAATAGTTAGTGGCTTAAATTGTTTAAAATACTATTTCTTGCTAATATCATCCTTAACTATATGTATATATGACTAAAATGAAACATTTTCCAGTTTTCTCTATCACAACATCATACCTTGGTCATCTTATTAAATTATAACTTTTTTTATTTTTGTCTATTTACCCTACTTTCAGTTCCTTTATGGGAGGTTGAACAGTTGTAAAGTGTTGTTGGGGCTTTACAGGAAGGAGAAAGGGTAATTTCATCTTATTATTTTTAGGTACAATAAGGAGAATGGGTAATTCATCTTATTATTTTTAGGTACAATATTGGGGTTTTGCCATTGGATTGCAATATATTAACAAGAGATGGAGCGGGGGGATAAGAAAAGGGCATTATGGTCTATTTTGATAATATCTAAGAAAAAGGCATTATCCATTTTGGTTGCAATTAGAGTAGAATCCATGAGAAAGAAGTAAGAAGTCCTAAATTCTTGAAACGACCTTGCAAGTGTAGATAGGGTTTTATATGGACATTTTGATAGGTGAGGCCTCTGTCACTATATATTAATCAAGAAGCATTCAAGCTCTTATTTTTGTTCATATTTTAATGCTTTTATGAATGTGACAATTTCTGATCGCTATGTCATTTGAACTTCAGTGGCTTACAATAATCCCAAGCCAGAGTGGAAATAAGGTGTTTCAAGCTCTTATATTTCTATCTTTTTGATATGTGTTTTGTCTATTTCATTTTCTTACCAGGAGCATGTGTTGAGTTGTCCAAAAGAACAACAACATGATGTCATTATGGTA